TAACGTAGTTCAACCAATCGTCAACCATGCCTCTCTAGGGGGCAGCCTCGGTTAATCTCTCTGTGTACGAATCACGAACTCGGGGCATGCCCGGGCCTTCGAGCTTTGCTAAAGGGGCACGTGTAAATTGGAAGTACTGTTTTAAATGCCATAACATTCTTTCATTTCTCTTCTCCCTTTAAATATCCACTCTAACAACCCTTCTGAAATAATGCAAACATCCCTCCTGTCTTTTCGATGAGCTCTAGGTTCTGATACCATGTTAGATTTCATCTTAAAACCGATTAGCATCAAGTGAAGTTGTCCAACAAATATACAAATCGCATCGAGAGAATTGAGGTAGACAATGTAGGACTTCTCAACACCGTCCTCCACATATGCCTATCAAATCAGACGATGTCAATTAGTTTTAAGATGAAATCTAACATGGTATCACAAAATTCATGGTAGTCCAAAAACTTGGAGCCAGGGAGGTTGCTACAAGATGTTCAAAGGATGGTAGTGGTATGAATAGGATTGCCTAATTGTAACTGCATCTAATAAAAGCGGTCCCAATTTGAGTGGCAACTGAGAGGAAACTAGAGGGTGAACAAAGGAATTTTGGTGACAAAAATCAGGGTTTTCACCATTTGATATACCAAGAGTTGATGGACAAGAAAAGCAAGGACCTATGTTTTAGGTGTGGAGGGAAATTCCACTCTTTACAAAAAAATACAAGTAGAAACAGTTCAGATCGGTAATTTTGGGTTATAATATAATTATAATGAAGCCCTAAAAGATGAAAAAGAAATAATTGCTATTGAAGTAGATAAAGATAATCAGGAAGAATTAGTTTCCTACTTTCAGCTTGAGGACAAGGCTGATTTTTCAGCAGGAGTGGTGAGCACCGAGTTTGAAGCAGTCAATTGTTGTAAAAATGAATTTCAATGATGAAGACAAAAACTGTCATGTTGGCAGTTATCGGTAGAATAGTTAGGAGCAGTTATGCTTGCTGGAGATCTCACACTAGAGATAATGTCTCATTAAAGACTATAAAACTTAGGCACCCCAAACTTTACAAGCCTGTTATTAAATCATTGACAAATATTCAGTTTTGCAAACTTTAAACTTAAGATGTTAAATTCTCGATATGAGAGGAGTGTGTTAAAGATATGGCCAAAAATCAAAATAGTGTATGTGAGGGAGAACCCTTATCTCATAAGTTAGCTTTTGGAGTTGAAGTAGATCTATACCTAAATGTCGCCACCGGCCCAAACGGGCCTCGGCGGTCGCTTCTAATAAGAGTGGATTAGAATTTTAAAATAAGTAAACAGATAATAAAAAAAAAATAATAATAATAATAAAATTTTATACCCCTTTGTACATTCTTAGGTCATCATTCCATTAACATCATATAGATAGTTTCCTTTTTTTTAAAAAAAAATGAATAAAAGAAATTTCATCTTTACCATGCATCATTTCTCTTTAGATAATAGAAACATGATAAAGATTAGGCAAAAAAGAAAATGACATGCATTCTAGATTAGTTCATTAATTTCATTCATTTTATTTTATTAGCTAAGAAGGATTAGGTTGCAGTACGTATAGAAAGTTAAGAAAAGTGAATGCTCTAATATGCGACAGTATTTGCACTTTAAAGAAAAGCCCAAATTAATTTTTAAAAAAATACTATGGTTGGGATATTGCTTTGATATGTTTGTTAAAGTAAGTCTTCTGAGAATCTAATACAGATTCTCGCTCAATACTGTCAAAATCTATTTGATCATTCACAAATAAAACAAATCAATGAGACTGATATTTATTATTCTTAACTTTCTCTACATGTTTGCATTACATTCATTTAGAACATATCCTTCCTTGTAAAAGAATAAATGAGAATAAAAAAGGAAATTGACCTATGTGCGTTAGTCGAAAATAATGGAAAATAAGCCATGCATAAAGAGTTTAGGGTAAAGAAATCCACAATCATCAAGATGTTAACTCTTGCCCTAAAAGGATAAAGTTGTGTTGTACAACCATAAAATCCAAGTGGAATAGAACTTGAGGAGGACGAATCCCTCAAACACTGAGTCAAAATGAATAGAGCTTTCTTGAAAGATGATTTTAACAAGAGAGAAGCATTGCTTGTTAAGAAGCTGCTAGAATGAAAACTCGCCAAGGGCATTCTATAAATAAAAAAATCGAGAAGCAATGTTTGTTCAAGCTGAAAATCAAGAGACCGCTTGAATGTTCCTCTTGAGAAGAAAGACTCCATGGAAAGCTCTATCATCGCTTCTACCCATTCCTACTTCTTAGGAAAGGCTCAGGATATGGGTTGAAAATACCTTTACGAGAGAAGAATCCAAAGGACCTCCCTTTACACGAGATCTTCTGAAGCGCCACATCCATGCAAGTGGAGGACTAGCTCTACGATTAGATGACTTAGGCCTCTCTAAGGGGCAACCTCATTCTTTTTCTTTGGGTACGAATCACGAACTTGGGGCATGCCCGGGCCCTCAAGCTACATTAAATGGGCACGTGTAAATTGAAAATTCTATTTTAATGTCATACACTTTTCTACTTCATTTCTCTTCTCCCTTTTATCTACTTTAAGCCTCGTTAACAAACCTTAATGAACAAGTACTTCCATGGTGACCCATCCCCAATTTCATTCTCATAAGAGTTTTCAAGTTCTTCTAATTGTCTTAAAACAATAGTTTGATCAAGTGGCCTAGGTGAAGCTCTAAACTCTTGACTTCCATCAAAATTTCCTTTATTGTACCTCCACTTATGATTTTTGGCTCTAACCAATGACGATGATACATATAGCAATTTTTTTTACTATAACGTAACCACTTAGAGGCAGTTTTAAAGCCACAACATGGACAAGCATATTTACCTTTAGTACTCCAACTAGAAAAATTTGCATAATTAGGAAAACCATTAATAGTCCATATAACGACAACATGCATTTAGAATGACTCCTTTCTGCATGCATTAAAAGTTTTTACCCCAATTTCTCATAGTTCTTTCAATTGCTCAATAAGAGGTTGCATATAAACATTAAGATTATTACCTGGACCTTTTGGACTAGGAATAAGTAATGTGAGAAGAAAAAAAGATTGTTTCAAACACATCCATGGAGGCAAATTATAAGGAATCAATATGACAAACTATGTTATGAGGAATTGCCATAGTTTTGAAATGATTAAAGCCATCTAAAGCCAAACCTAATCAAACACTCCGAGGGTCAGAAGAAAAATCAGGATACCGATTATCAAAATCCTTCCATGCCAAAGAGTCAATAGGATTAACTCTAATAATGATGAAGTAAGAAAAAAAATACCTGCAAAGATTCTTCGTTGGTTTCCTCTCAAACCTATGCAAAAACTTTTTATGTCATCCAAAATAGCTTCTTTTATGACATGTCCAAGAATACTATTGAATATGTGTGTAGCAGGGTGTTGTGCGAAAATTTAGTGTATTATTAGCTGTAGTTTGTGAACACAGAATGTTCTTGAAAAATTGTATGATATCTGTATTCAGGTCTGTGTCCGATCTATTAAACACTTCTGTTTCCGGTTCATGTGACATAATGAAATCACATTAGTCTTGCCTAAAATAATAATATGCTTTAAGTTACTTGAGTGTACAGTAGTTTAATCATCTTGACGTGCATTGCTAGTATCTATTTTTTTATTTATTAATAAATATTTAATTGTTATACTAATACATTTAAATTTTGAAACATTACAGAAAAAGTCAAGTGATTTTATAATTTATATAACAATAGTAATCTGTTCTGGGATGTAATGTTTAGTCAGAAGTAGGATAACAAAAGAATGGAGAGGGGAAAGAAGTTTTAAACTAAAATTAAACTGTGCTGTGCAAAAAGAAAACTAGAACTAGAATTAATATCTTGTAATCTCCTATGTTTTCATGGGTTAAATTAGCATCTCTGTAATGTCAACGGTGGCGAGTGGAGACCAAAGACATTAAATCCTTTTCTCGCTCACTGAATCAGTATAGCCTATAGGTACATTGAAAATTCTTGTATGAGAAATGGCCATAATATATAAAGCCAATTTACTTCTTCTGTTGCAGGGGATATCTTGCACCAGAATATGCACTTTTGGGACAACTTACGAAGAAGGCAGACATATACAGTTTTGGGATTCTCATGCTTGAAATAATCAGTGGGAAAAGTAGCAGCATAGCTGCATTTGATGAGGATTTTTTGGTTCTAGTGGAATGGGTAAATTTCTTGAATCTTGAGCATGATTAATATTGATTTGATACATTCTAGAATCTTCTCTAAGCAACTTTAGCTGCCAGAGGTTTAGAAACACAAAGATAAATAATAATGTCATAAATATAAGTAAGATGGATTGAGAAGGGGGTTTAATCGTGCCCTTCAAAACCTTTTTTTAAACACAAACGTAAAACTAAAATGTCAGATAGAATAGATTGCTGATAAAACTTATAGTAGACAGGTAACTGATAAACCCAGAAAATCAGAGGCTTAGCATATCAATTAAAATAAAGAGGATAGAAAGAGAAGAAGCTTGCTCAGATGGTTTTATTCTGGTTTGGCCCAGGGTGGAACTTACATCCAGTCCCCAACAAGAGCTTAGAGGTGAGATTCTCACTACTCAGCAGCAAGTATTCTTTTAGTTTTGGCCTCTTCTAGCTAGTTACTTAGTTACTATATAGCATTTTCACACACTCGGAGCTCATTGGTTACTCACTAACCTACAATCTAGAACACAAGATAGAAACTTCAGCCTCACAGCATTGTTATCACTAGCGCACTATAGCGTTGTTTGGATAGTTGTGTTTTTCGAATAGTGGTCATAGCAGGGCTGTAGTGGCACTAGAGTGAGGCTAAAGAAATCCCATTTTTTCCCTCACAAGTCACAACAACATTGTTGAGTTAATGGTGATCCTTGAATTTGGATGGTGTTGTCATTTTAATCCCTGAAACTAAGAAATATCTTATAAATTATTGAAAGTACAAATTGAAAACCATATTAATCCAAAATTCAAAAGTTTGTATGACTAAAGTGATAATATTGATATATATATATATATATA